GTTTGTTCATTCTGGAGTTTCTCGTTAATTCTGCTACCTTGTTTTCCCAAACCTTCAGAGGCATTCCTGCAAGTGCAAAGGAGTCACTTGTGGCATTCTCAAGGTAAAAACAACCAGTTTTTAAAATGATTGGGAGTAGAAGAATAGCTAACTGGTGGGCTTGCGTGTGTATCTGCCTGAGGGCCTTCTGCAGAGCTGGAGAAAAGCTTATATGTCGTCCTTTTGTTTCGTTTCACACTATGATTATGGTGTTTTTCTTGAAGAATAACGCAGTTTCTGTGAGAACGAGGTCTGGTTGAAAATGGGGTGAAGGAGGAGAGAATGGGGGAATGCTTGGAAACCTGTAGGCTTGCGGGGATTAGTTTGGTCAGCCACTGGATTGACAACATATAAAGGTTTTTTATATCTAGCCAAACCTTATTTTTTTATCTATCTTCTTGTTACATTTATCAAATTCCAAGTTTTTCAGTGCTTTAATCTATGTTTCAAAATTTTCAGCTGGCTCGCGTTTGGTGGTAAACCGCCGACGTCAAGAGGGCAATCCTGTGCTGAAGTATGTGAGAAATGTCCGCTACGAGTGGGGAGATATAGGAACGGATTTTGAATGTGGACCAACCTGCGGAGTACTGTACTTGGCATTGAAGGTGAATTTAGGATTTTAATCAAATCAACAAGAACTTGAGTTGTTACCTGTAAAGAAAGTCAATGTTTGCTGCACAGACTTGAAGAAAAAAATTTTCGACGTAGTATTTTTCAAAGATTTTTATAATATCAATTAAAAGGTCAACTTTTTAGACGGTTGAGTGATATTTAAGACAAACTTTTTTTCAATAAAAATTGATGTAAAAATTAGTTGTCAATTCCCCATATTCAGCTAAGAATTCAAATAAATAAGAGAAAATAAAGTGAGAATGAACAACTGACTGACTGAATGAATACATCGAATGGAACAATGAGCGAATAATTAATAAATAATTGAACTTGTGAATAACAGATAAATGCATAATTAGTCTATTTTTAACCAGAATAATTATTTTGACAAAAAAA